AAATTCCATGCCCCGAAGTAACAGCCAGTGCGCGCTGCAAATGTTGCAGCCCCCTGCGAGGAACATTTTCATCTCTCTAATTCTGAGCATTACATCATGCCAAGTGCATCCTGGGAGATATTGTCATGCTAATGAGGCAGCCCAGGAGACCCAATTCTCCTGCTCCTTCGAGAGACATTCCCACCATGCCCCGGTCCTCTAGTTTATTCAAGCCCAGCTGAATTGCCTCCTGAGAATAAAAGACAGAGCCTTAATTAAGTACCACACTCTGTTCCCAATCACAGCTTGATTGTTGTGCCAGCTTGCTTCTTTGCTAAAGATGAAATGCCCGAACTTCCTATACTAGCTTCACACAGGGGAATAGCAGTAAGGGCCTCCTCTGCTGGAATGAAATTTTATTAAATGACTGTGCTACTAGGACAAATCCTAATGAATCCAGGGCTTGGTGGAAAAAAAATAATAATAATCAGCAATTCTAGCTTATTTTATTAAGAATGGCTGGATGAGTATTTCCAAAGTAAGGCCCAATTTACAGCTGAAATAAGCATAGATCTATTATATCAGGAAAAGGAACACATATAAACAAAAGATAAAGGTGATAAGCTCTTAGTATATTTAACTTAAACCTAAATTCATTGAAGAACGTCTCTCATTTATAAAGGATATTTCTTTCTGGAAATATGGATGATATGATTGGTGTACAGTATTTACTGTACATTTATATTACATTTTGCTTTTGCCTAAAAAACAGGCTAAAAAAACAACAACATTTTTTTTTCTTCTCCATCTTGAATTTTATTCTCATATAAAACTATCTGGTATTCTAGAGAGCTTCATAGCTAAGTGGAGTTTTAATTCCAAATTATCTCAAATTTTAGTTCTTCATTCTGGCACCTATTTCCCCCCCTCCTTATTAGCCATTTTTGCAAAGCTGACATATAAAGCAGAAGGGCTGTTGATATTGCAGTGGACAGCACACCATCCATTTTAAAAGAAGTAAATGAAATTTGCAGTTTAGTGGTCCCTGGGAAGACATTCCAGGCATCATAGGATAATTTCAGTTTCCTCTCTAAGGGGGCAAGATAATTTTCTCCACAGATGGGGAAAACGTATGTTAGATTCATCCTTTAACCTTTTTGACTTCGATTCTTTGCAACATCCAGGCTCACATGTCAAAGAAGGCCAACAGTGGGTGTGCAAGGAAAAGTCTATGGATTTGCATGATCCAATGCTCCCCCAAGCATTTCTTCAACATGCCCAAGATCTTCCGTAAAGAATATCCTTTCTTTGCAGGGAAATAAGAGAAAATTGTATCCAAGGTGTCTTTTGAAGATAAATCACAGATTGATTTGCTAGTTGTAAAACATAAAGTGCCTTTCCCAGGAAATCCTCCCTTATATATCTTCTTAAGGAAAAAGAGAGGGAGGGTGGGAGAGAGAGAGATTATAAAAGACAGAAATGATACTTTGGGTTCAAGCATGCATACGCACTGTCTGATTTTCTTTATCTGAGTAATTTATATTTGCTTTACTCCCATCTGGCAATTGCTATAAATTGTAGATAAGAAGTTGCGGCCTCAATTTCCCTGATTTGCATTTCTCTTTATTCCTACTTCCCATTCCTTGCTATTAAAAGCTGTTTGATGGCAATACAAAGACCAGAGTGCTTCACTGCATGCACATTTTGTTTTTTTTAAAATGCTTCTGAGAAAAAAATAAAGGGGTCAGCTGGAGGTGTGCATCAGAATACAGACCGACAGAGTTGGAAAGGACCTTGGCGATCTTCTAGTCCAAAGACAATTTTTCCACAGCCGGAGGAGTGGGGATGGTTTTGGGTTTGCTCACTCACCAGCCACTCACCTCCAGCTGTGTGGCCTGATTCCTAAAAGGCCATGGGGGTCGGGGACCCCTGCTTTAGAGAATAGGTCAACCCCCCTCTTCTCTGTGATAGTCTCTCAGATATTGGAAGTGTTATTATGTCACCCCTAGTCTTTCTCTTCTTTAGACTAGAGATATTCTGTTCCTTCAGCCGTCCATTGTATGTTATCTCCCAAAGGTGCTTTTTCAAGAGGCAACTGGACTTTCTGCTTTTTCTTTGAAGACATTTCGCTTCTCATCCAAGAAGCTTCTTCAACTGCTATATATATATAGGAAGTAGCCAATGGCAAGCCACTTCTCAAAGTCTTGCCAAGAAAACTGCAAAGACTAGCCCAGGCAATTGCCAGCAGTCAACACTCATTCAAAGGACTCCCACACCACCCCAAAAATTAAAGTACTATATCATCAGAAATGCCCCTCCAACCTCTGGAAAAAGGTGGAGTATGGAGAATTGTGCCTATTCTGCAGGCAATAAAGGAGGAAGATAGTTTAGTAGCCTGGAAGCTGTTAAATTCATTGGTTGGAAGCAGATCTAGAAACTTAATGGTGGGGTAAGTGCTTCACAATTAATCATTGGTACATTTGCTTATCTGAGGTAGCAGATCAAGCAGGGTTAAAAGTTGCCCCTCCTTGTGATTTATTTTAATCCAGGGATTTTGCTCATAACAATAAGCAACTTTTCTTTAAAAAAAAGAAAAAAGAAGTGACTTTAGCTTTTGTAATAAATTACATACTGTTTAAAAAGAGTTCCAATATTTTATCCATAGATGTAATAGACAGACACATGGTTGTAGGATGAGTCATGTAATAGTACACATCATTACAGCTTGGTATGTAATCTATGTTTCTGTGAAGGCAAATAATATACTGACATGCAAATACCAGTGACAGGAGACAAGGAATGAAAAAAAAAGGAAAAAAGAGAGATGATTCAAGATGCTCATGGTGCAAGAAGAAAGAAGACACTGTTTTTTATATGAGAATAGAAATTGCAAATATATATTTTAGTCATCTCAAATTGATTATTCCAAAAATGACCTATATATAATTGCTTACTCTTTTTGCATTTCAGTCTGTCTTTCCTGCTATTGTCCATGTTGGGAGAAGCCTGTGATGGAGATTTGGGTATTAGGAAAATAAAATATGTACCTTTTTTGATGTCTCTTCCATTTGTATCAGCAGAATGAAGAGCAATTGATTGAAGCATTGAATGATGCTGTTGATGATTGATGATGATTGCAATGTTACGTTTCTAGTACATTCTTTCAGCATTTTTAGTCCTATCATTTGTTACCTGTATACAAGAAGCAGAAATTTGATGTTCTTAAAATACATCATTTTGGAATCAATTTCATAAATGGTATGCATGTATGTTCATTTGGAAATAAACCAATTCAAATATTTCTACTTTCCCTACATTACTAGGATTCAAGCCAGCTAACATGTAAATACAAAAGACTGTAAACAAGGATCATATTCAGCAAACAAGGATAGTTTGGTCAAGCCGGCTTTCCTGAATGCTCTGCTCCAAGAGCCAACAATTGTCCAGTCTTAGAAGGCATATAGTGAACAGCCCTTTACAGGGTCTGTGAAATGTATTGGCTTGGTCAATGACGATGGACAATGCGAAGATCATGTAATTAACCGTTTATTAACAACAGCTGTGCTAACTGCCACAGCTATAACTGAAACTTCTTGGAACTCTGCCTGACAGCTCTTATCTAGGCAGCTGTCAGGTGGCTTAACCAATCAACGAACAGAACATTACTTTAACCAATCAACAAACAGAATGTTACTTCCTACTTCAGCAGACTTAATACATTGCACCCCTTTCCACCTGGATGGCGCATGTGTAGTCCTGGAGGTATGCCAGTTGGTGCCGGCTTCTGATCGAACGTCTTAACCCTGCCTCACTCACAGACTCTTGCGAGGAATTACTTTCCCCAGCAGTTCTAATAACTATAGGTACGTTACTGCTTTCGATCTGTGTTTCGATTTCTCCCTCGGGGTTTGTATTGTCCGAAGTAATCTGTCGGCTCAAAATCTGCTGCTCAGCGTCTGGTAGCTTCTCAGCTTCTGGTATGCCCCTTAACCCCTGGCTGAAACTTTCTCCTGCCTGGTTCTCTCTTTCTGTTATATCGTGTTCAGTACCCCATCTGACCCGTAGCTGGTCTTGGTGACGTCTCCAAACCTTGCCTTGTCCCATATCAACCTTATATGAGCATGGACCTGTAATATCCACCACCTTACCTGGTAACCATAACGGCTGACCCCCATAATTCCTGGCATACACTTTATCACCCACACCAAAAGGTTTAGATGTCCTACTTGAATCCAAAGGCTTGGCAGGGGCGTAACGGGGGTGTAACCTATCCAAAATTGTACGCAGCCAGCGACCCATCAGTAATTCTGCCAGACTCCGATTGGTAACCTGACAAGGGGTGATGTGTTGCACTAACATATACTTCGCTATACGGTCATGCCATTTCCCTGGTGCCTCCTTTGCGGATCTCACAGCCCTTTCTACAAGGCCATTACTGGCCGGGTGGTAAGGAGAGATAAGAGCATGCCTGATACCTAATTGGGCAAGGAACAACTCAAATGTGGTAGAAGTTAATTGGGGCCCATTATCTGACACCAATAGGTCAGGCAACCTGTGGGTTGAGAATAGTGTATGAAGGGCCTTTATGATGGCCTCTGAGGATGTTGAGTGCATAAGTATCAGTTCAATCCATTTAGAGTACGCGTCAACCACCACTAAAAAAATTTGACCATGAAATGGCCCCGCAAAGTCTATATGAAGGCGGGACCACGGGCCAGCGGGGTCTTCCCATTCCCTGGGCTTACCCTTAGGGGCATTGGCCAACACTCTTGACAAGGGTGGCAAGTGGCCACCCAGTCGATGATACATTGATCAAGAGTAGACCACCAGAGATAGGTTCTAGCTAGAGCCTTCATTCGGACTATTCCTGGATGTCCAGAATGCAATGATTTTAACACAGAATCCCATAAAGATTTTGGAATCACCACCCTGTGTCCCCACAGTAAACAATTATCATGGTAGATAATTCCGTTTTACGGATAGTGTACGGTTTCCACTTCATGTCCTTCAGCCTTGTGGCCACCCCCTTAGCACCCAGTCCATGACTGTGGAGATCTCTGGATCGCGGGATGAAACTCGAGCAATGTCAGCCACCATCAAAACGAAAGGTGAGTCTTAAATCATCAGGACTGACGAGGCGGGAGCTGGGTCAGAGAGCAACGTTGGCACGGGGCACTGGTTGAGGGCGTCAGCATGGGCCAGTTCTTGCCTGGCACGTACAGGAGCATGTAGTCGTAGGCGGATAAAAACACAGACCACCTGGTGAATCTCGGGGATAGGAATTGTGGAATTTGATGGTCAGCTGCTAGTAGACCAAGCAGAGGCTTATGATCCGTCACTAGTGTAAAAGGTCGACCATATAGGTAATGATGAAACCGCTTGACTCCAGCTACCAATGCTAGAGCCTCCTTGTCTAGCTGTGAATAATTTCGCTCCGCTGAAGCCAAAGTCTGGGAGAAAAATGCAACGGGGGCTTCACGGCGATCAGGGAAACGGTGATTTAAGACTGCTCCCACCCCATAAGAAGAAGCATCACACGCTAGTACGAGGGGTAGGGACTCGCAGTAGTGAGCGAGGACCGAGTTTGAAACGAGTATACGTTTGACATTAGTAAATGCAGCAGCTGCAGTTGAATCCCAGTTCCAACATGTCCCCCGGTTCAGCAAAGGTTCCTCAATAGATGCCTTGTGTGGTATGAAAATTGCATAAAAGTTTAAAAGGCCTAAGAAGGCTTGAAGTTCAGCCTTGTTGGTGGGAGCAGGGGCATGTAAAATAGCATTCGTCTTAGACTCTGTAGGGTGTATACCCTTACCATCAATTAGGAAACCGAAGAACTCGATTTTGAAAACAGCTACAATACATTTGCTTCGCTTAACTTTGAGCCCCACTCTCTGGAATTCAGTTAGAACCTATTTGAGTCTTTTAAGGAGTTCGGTGGTGCTGGTGGCCAATACTAATACATCGTTAATGTACGGTACAACCCCGGGGATTCCATTAAGTAAACGCTCCATCATGCTCTGGAAGATTCCCGGGGCGACTGAAACCTCAAATTGGAGGCGGCGGCAACGGAAAGCACCCCGGTGTGTCACTATAGTTTGTGCGTCCGCTGTTTGGTCATCCACAGGCAGTTGTTGATATGCCTGTGCTAAGTCTAATTTAGCAAATATGGAGCCACTACCCAAGGAGTGCAACAAATGTTGCACAACAGGAACGGGGTATGCATGCGCCTGTAATGCACGATTAATTGTTGCTCGGTAATCTGCGCAGATGCGCACTGAACCATCTGCCTTCATGGCAATAACAATGGGGGTCTCCCATGGTGCGTACTCAACAGGCTCCAGGATAAGTTGTGCTATTAATTTGTCAAGTTCAGCATCGAACTTTGGTCGCAATGCAAACAGTACTCTTTGCGGCTTAAGGCGGCGAGGCTGCACTTGAGGGTCGAGACTGAACGAAACTGGTTGTCCGGTGTATTTTCCTAATTCCTCAGAGAAAACTGAGGGGAATTCATTACATAACATGTACAGTTCAGATAATGAGATGGCATTAACCCCTTGTATAGTTAGACCTAATGCATCGAACCAATTAAGGCCCAACAGGCTGGGAAATTTTCCTTCCACAATGACTAGTGATAATAATCCACTAAACTTCTTAAATTGTACTCGGAATGTGCCACTTCCAACAATCGGAATGTTGACTCCTTGGCAATCTTTTAGCAGGAGATGGCAGGGGTCTAGTTGTCGTTTAGCCAGTTTCGGAACTAGTCGTTTAATTGTACTCCATGACACCAAGGATATAGCGGAGCCGGAATCAACTTCCATGGTGCACAGTTTCTGTTCGATGAATACTGTAAAACGAATCTTCTGCTGGCTCAACATATTTGGTGCTGTTACTAAATTCACATCAGAAGAAGATCGTTGGTTACTATTACGAACTTTAGACGGATTAGGACGATATTGTTGGCCCCCATCCTGCGGCACACATGATTTGAACTGTGGCTGAGGGGCTCTGCATACTCTGGCGAGATGACCTTTGCGGCTGCAGTGGTGGCACTCTGCGTTTTTAAAACGGTAATTAGAGCGCAGGTGATTTCCTCCGCAGCTGAAACATGCATTCGGCCCCCTTGACATGCTAGTTGGGCCAGAGTTTTGTTTTCTAGACTCTTGAAGACAGCACACTTCAAAGTCACCATCAGAATCTGACAGATTCTCATTTTTCTCATTTACAGACGATGAGTCTTTTTCCGTCTTAGGTGTAGTATATCCACGGGGCAACTCGGCTAGTGACAATGCTGCCAGTTCTGCAGCACACGCCTCATCCAATGCCATTTGAAATGTGAGGTCGTGATTCGCAATCAGACGCCTTTTAAGACTTTGGTCCCTGACCCCACTGACAAGTCTATCTAGGAGATAATCTTCTAAATCAAAGAATTCACAATGCCTGGCCGCCCTCCTCAGAGCTGCAACATATTGGTTAATAGTCTCTCCAGGGGTCTGATCACGATGGTAAAAGTGTTGGCAGCGGGCTATTCTTGAGGGGGCTGGTGCGTAATGTTTTTTTAATTTTTTTATAAAGTCTTCCCATGTTCCTGAATATACAGATTGTGGGGCCATTAATGTCATTGCAGTATCAAACAATTCAGTACCACAGAAACTTAGGAAATAAGTGCGTTTGCGCTCAGGCATCAGCTTTGTATAATCATTTGCAATTAAGAAACATTCAAAACATGCCAAATAAGCCTCCCACGTCTCTGCACTGGGATTGAAAAGAGGAAAGGTCTGTGCAGACTCCATTTCCTCTTCTTCTTCTTCTTCTTCTTCTTCTTCTTCTTCTTCTTCTTCTTCTCTTCTTCTTCTTCTTCTTCTTTCTTCTTCTTCTTCTTCTTCTTCTTCTTCTTCTTCTTCTTCTTCTTCTTCTTCTTCTTCTTCTTCTTCTTCTTCTTCTTTTTCCCCCCTAACTGACTCACATTTTGCTTCTTCAGTTTAAATCTCTCTTTTTTCCTTATTACTATGACCGGTAGATCGACCAGTTGATCCTCATCGCCAGTTGAAATGTATTGGCTTGATCAATGACGATGGACAATGCGAAGATCATGTAATTAACCATTTATTAACAACAGCTGTGCTAACTGCCACAGCTATAACTGAAACTGCTTGGAACTCTGCCTGACAACTCTTATCTAGCCAGCTGTCAGGCGGCTTAACCAATCAACAAACAGAACGTTACTTTAACCAATCAATGAACAGAATTTTACTTCCTACTTCAGCAGACTTAATACATTGCAGTCTGTCTTTGGAAGAGTATCCCAAATGCTAGCATCAAAACTCAGATGTGCTGTTCATTTTATCTACCTGGATGGAACTCCTAAAACAGATCTCAAATGATACTAGTGTGTGCCAGACAGACGTGTGAAAGTAGAAGTCTATCAAGCATTCCATGTAACCAAAATTTAGGGCTTTAAAGAGCTAGCACATCATTGATGAAGTGGGAGGGTAATTATGAATTTTAGAGAGATGGTTAATGCCTAAAGAGTGCAGTGTGTAACCTTTTCCACAAAGTTTGCCACAATGATTATGGCATACCCCAGGAAGGAACTAATGCTGCTCAGTATGTAGACAGGGTGTATTCTCTGCCAATGTTGCTCCATTGCAACTGCCCCATGCCCACTGCCATATTCTTTTGACACCTGCATGTGGCCTTTCCCCCACTCTCACCAACAACCCCCATATACTGATCTAGTGACTGCTTGGGATGACAGGAGGAGCAACATCCAACTTTGGGGTGCGAGGGGATCGTAATTCTAGTTTTTTAGTTTGATTATATTAGACCTTGGCTCAAATGCTCCTGTTCCCTTGTAAATGGATTTGTACCATTTTAACAAGGGATGCAGAAAGTTGCCAAAAATGTGCAGAATATTTATGGAAGCATGGTGTGTGTGTGTGTGTGTGTGTGTGTGGGGGAGGGGGGGGGAGGGAGGGAGGGAGAGAGAGAGAGAGAGTGGGAGAGAGAGAGAGTGAGTAAGAGAGAGAGAGAGAGAGAGAATATTCCAGGAGAAATCCTCAACTTTGACACAGCAGTCTTCAGATGGAAGAGATAAATTTTAGTTATTTAAGTCTTGGCTTCAAGAAATGAGATATACCCTAAGAACTGGGGAGTTATGGACTATACACTATTTAGACTGAGAAGCTGCAGGAAGCCCCTCCCATATTTCTTGGCACCCAACTGATGAATTTTATCAGCCTGCAGCAAGAAAGGGAAGACTGGATTCTTCCTGCCAAATGGCAGCCGGAACCCCATGGTCTGAATCATTGGGGGGGGGGGGGGGGGGGAAGGAAGGGGAAAAACCACTGACTTCCTCTTTGTGCTAGGTATGCTGCTTGGACACTGGGGATTGGTGAATTGTGAGGAAGGGTGAAGGATGTGTGGGTATAGTAAATGGGAAGGGATATGCGTGGAATGTAGATATCATGTTGGAGGTCAGAAGGGCTCCTGGGATTCCATAAACTATGTAAACACCACTTCTAGGAAGGTTGATCTTCTTATAATTCAATATCCAGGTCTCTAGTTTTGGGGCTAACAGTCCCATTTGAATTTTTGAAACCTGCAATGAGCACCATCCCAAAAGGGCTATCTGTAGAGTTTGGTAATTGTCCAACTTGCTAGCACAACAAAATACCTATTTCTAAGAAAGACAAACTGGTGAGGGTATGTTTTGCCCTCCTGAAAATCACCCAATGCCTGATTTCCTCAAATAACTTCTAAGATAAGTAAACAAATTTAAAACACATTGTTGTGATCTAGGCTTCCTGAGTCATTAAAACACATGAGTAGTTCCAAAAACCTATTTTATTGCAACAGCTATGAATTACATTCATTCACAGCTGAGTCCCAATTAGTTGCAAAAAGTCCTAACCCTAACCCTAACCCTAACCCTAACCTTTATCTCCCTTGACACGCTGCCAAAGACCTACTTGGCAGAGCCGCACGGAGTCCAGAATCAAACAGAGATGCCGACTGGGAACAGAATTAACAACGTTGCTTTCCTGCAAAGGGCCCACGTGCCTTTGCTCCTCTTTTAAACTTTATGGGAGGGGCCAATCATCGCCAG